TTCATTAAATTCAAAAGAATTTCAAATATTTTTATTACGGTTTTGTAGCAGCAAAATGTTAAAATGCAATATTGCTAAACTATTTATACCTCATAGAAATTTGAATTAAAATTAATAAAAATAAAAATTTGATATATCCAAATATTATTGAGTCTGATTCTATCAAATTCAAAGCTCCTCGAATGTTCTTTTTATAACTCTTTATTGGATATAAATACAGATAATTATTAAAGGTAAATTATTTGCATTGAAATGATAAGTAACTAATAAATTTACGTAATTATCGAACATTTCATACGACAACTGTTTCTAATTCTTTTTCTTGTCAACGTATTCCCTACATTAATTCGTGAAATTTAATATTGAAAACATAATAAGAATAGACGCGTATGTGTCACCGAAAAATGGCACTTAAACTTGGTAGTTTGATGTGACGGAAAACATTGCAATTTGCAAGTAAATTGAGAGAGCATGTAGGACCCTCTCGATAAGATTACCATATCATGAGCCATTTTTAGAAATTGATACTGAACTGTAGAAATGGATGTAGCATCGGATCGGGAAGTGAATTATGGATTATGCAGATTGGGTTCCAGCAAGCAAGCTGATTCATCAATTGCAGCGAAAGATTTTCGTATCAAAAGGATTGAGGTGTTTAACTTTGGTAACTGTGGTATCTATGTATCTTGCTGGATACATGATAACTGGTAGTTCAAAAGTATCCCATCTACTAAATGGAATAGTTTCATTTGTCAATGCTGTTGGTTACACTACAAGAAAAGATTGATAGTCCTCACTGAATGCTATATTCGGCTCAAGGATCGATGATACTAGAGTCATGATCATTGTGGCTAAGCTTTGTAAACAAAGATATGTGACGGGATTCCTACAGTTATTGCAAGCAGGTTTATGAGACCAATGGAGAATAGGCAAGTGTAGTTGCAAAAGGCAGAGCGAAAAGTCTCTTTAGATGATATTGGCGAGGTACGGTTTTTCCGGCGTTGCCGTTTCTTCTTGAGGCTGATTCTGCGTATGTTTTCAAAAGAAGCAGCAAGATTACGGATAATGTGTCTCCATGTTTTCCAATTCGAGACCAGAATGAACGAACCACCGCTGGTGATCAATGTGACCAAGCCTGAAGTATTGTTTCAGGGAGTTCTTGCATCACCTCTTTAGGGCTCTTCTTTTGCGAAAGTTGTGACGAGTTCAACATAGAGTATCTACGTTAGGAAGACAGTGATCCTTCATCCTGCAAACGTCTCCAGCCAAGTGCAATAACGTCCTCAGTAGTATGACCTTAATACTACTGATCTCGGCCTATGTAAGAACAGTAACATTAATAGAATCAATCTTTCATGGTCACCCGAATCTGAGTATAGCTGAATCTTTTCTGTTAGGTTAATCTACCGCTTGTTCTAGATATTTCAAAGTTTTTGTTGGAGCTTATTGCATACGAGGGATCTTGCATGGCAGGATAGCTGATCGAGGTATATTTGGTGAGCAGTTCTCTTATTTGTCAACAATTTTTGGATCTCGTGATTGTTTTCATTAAACCAATCTTTGTTTTTCTTGGAGGAAATTCCTAAGGATTCTGCGGAAGATTGCAGCAAAATGCTAGTTTTAATATATTGCTAAAGCGATTCAAGAGAGGGATCAGTAGAATGATCTTGAAATCTGACTTGAAATCTAGAAGCTATTTCTTACTGCAATTTTAGAATTGCAGTAAAAAATAGCTTCTAGTTAAAAGATTGTCAACTTTAAGCTTTCTTTCTTAGAATTCTACCTCTTCCAGGGTTGGATTTAAAGCAGAAGTTGAGTTTGCATTGCATAAAGCGGTGGTCCGTTTGACATTTTGCAATGGACATTACACGAGTGTGACCAACATCATGAACGTTTCTTTGACACACTAACACATGGTCAATAAGATCCAGTCCTTGGATCGAGGATGCATCCATGTTGTCTTCGAAGTGTCTCTCTGCTGAAAGATAATATTTGTCATGGTGAATTTCTGTTCGGCACAAAACTTTAACAGAAGCTGTCCGTTGTCGCTGAAGTTTCCAAGTGTCATGCTTGCTTAATACACCTTTTCAGACTTCCAACTCTAACGTCAAGGATTATGACCTTCATAGGTCGATATAGAATCTATTTTTTTTCCCATGGAGTCAACTTGCATAGTTGGAGCATGTATGCTGAAGGGAACAATTTGCTATTTGTTGTTATGTAGGGAGAAAATACGATGGGAATGATCTGTCGGTTGATTTTCGAGTTTGGAGGTGATG